TTAACAAACCGACCTATTTAATTTTGCTAAAATCAATACAGTAGTTTGTATATTTTCATACTGTCCTCAAACTAGATACATTTCCAGAATTTGTTTTGTCGGTGCTCAAACTAGTATCAAAACACGTTTTTGCTTACTCCTTGCATCATCTGTTTATTTATTCCTCATACCAATTATTGATTTTCAAAATTCAAAAACGATCACCGTATTATTTTACCAAATTCGCATCGCAAATTAGTTCACGCATACCTTTACCAAGGGCAATGTAACTTTGTTTCTTTAGTTATATGACAAGAATCTTCTAATTAAATGCCAAGCCATAATCTCCACTGATCCGCCCACGACAACAAATCGGCTTATATTTCACCATTTCATATTCGTGAAGTAGATCATACGTATTACGCAACTGAGCGATCAGAAATTATGAACTACAATTCCGGACAAAAATATATTATGAAAAACGTTCGCATTCGTATTAATATTATTTTGTGCGTGTGTATGTATGCGTGTGAATGGTGGATACTCCATCACTGTGAATGGTTGGATTGAAATGAAATTATTTAGTACTAACCCCCTTAAGAGATGATTTCCGGGATAAAAATTATTCTATGTCCTTCCCAGGGTCTCAAACTATATTCTTACCAGTTCAGTAATTTCGGAGCTTATTTAGTACAAACAAACAAGCAAAAAAATCTTTCCTCTTTATAATATTAGTATAGACGAGCGAGGCCATTGCCAGTCACCAGTATAAATGATAAAAATGTATAAAATTATGACCCATCGAATTTATAGCAGAAATATAAATCTATATTTATATTCTTATACAATATACATTTTATTAATATTAAACTTTTTTTTGTAGACGAAGTTTTAAGATTATTCGTTTATATTTTTTTTTATTTATTTAATTTTCATTCAGACACAGGTCCATAGTTTAATATGTATATTATCTAACAACATTTAAAATTTAATATTTAACAATAAATTATAAATATATAGTTTATACAGCATATTGTAGTAATTAAAATATATAGCTTAAGCTTTTAGCTTCTTAGGCCTTCTTTCAATGCGAACCATGATTCACCATGTTTTTCTTAATCACGGTAATCACTTTAAAATTATTTGCACAAGAATATCTCAGAAGTACAAAACCCGGGAATTGAACCAGCTTTATTTGATTTTTCAAACAAACGCGTTACCATAGGACACTAGATAGGGTAAATAAAATAAAATAGTCCGTTTAAGATTGCTTTTTGCAATAAGACGGCTTCTTTATGCCTTATATATTATGATAACACTTTGTACCTATGTATTGATTTTTTGTTATGCGTGTGTAGCGAATAATAAAAATAAAATAATTAGAGCAACGTGCACTGAGTAGATAATTTAGTGAAAAGAATCAATTATTTTACAAAATGCAAGCGCCAACCCTAGAAAGAGAAAACCTCGTCCAATCCTTATACGAAAATAAACCAAGATGGCGGCCGCATGTCAATAAAAAATAACTTCCGGTGTAATCGACGCTATTATTAATTAAGCGCAAATTACGACATGTTTAATTGATTTTGTCTAATTTGTAAGTCGGCGTCGTGTTACCGCAATGAAATATTCAAATATAACTGATGTTTTATTTGTTTTAACTAATAACTTTAGCGCGCGAGTTTATTATTTTATGTAAATGTGTTCGAAAGGTCAAATTACAAACTAACAAAAACAATTTCTCATTAATAATATTGGTAACTAGCGACTCACCCTCGCACCTTTAGTATAAATTACTCAGAGATGAGATACATATTTTCCCGCAGTGAAAGTATCCTATATGTTGACCCGGATAACCAGCTATAATCATACCAAATTTCATCAAAATCTGTGCAATAGTTTTCTAATGAGACGTTCCCAGACAGACAGAGAAAAATTCTAAAACTATAGATTCGGCCTGTCTCCAAAATAATGTCTATTTCATTAAGATTATCCAAAAAATATTTAATGTACAGATTTGGCTTAGTTAAAATTTTATTATATGTATAGATTATCGTTCATAATCACAAAAAGAGATTAATTCGGATTACGATTATTAAACGCGAAAGTTGTTATGTTTGTCTATTTGTTTCTTCTTAACGCTAAAACGGCTCGACAGATTTGGATGTTACAAAGATAAGCTTTGACCTGGAGTAACATAATATAGGGTAGTTATAGCGTTATAGCGTATATAAATTTTTATTTATTATTAATAATAATAATATTTTAATATCGAACCACGAGTAGAGATTCATGTTATGGCTCATTTCACTGATATGATCAAAAAAGTACTAGATACTCAATCCCACGCAAAAGTTCTCTCAAAACTGTCACCAATTGTGTTTAGGTGATTTTTCTAATTGAAATAAATATACAACAATGTGAATTGAACCTTGAATGCAATGCTTAAAGTTGTTTTCACAAAAATGAACTGAATTAAAAGCGCGCTCAAAATGTTCAAATGAGCGCTCATTCGGTGAAGACATTTTTTATCGCTTATTATGTAAACGCTTATCTTCTACTATCTTTTATGTATCTAGCACTCTTTTCATTGATGGATATGTTAAAAACTTTCATTATATCCCAGGGACCATTTTGCTTAAAATACACAAACTAACCTAAATTTATTTACGTAGGTCACAAATGCCTAACCATAAAGTATTTCTAGGGTTCCATTGACTAAGGCAAAAACGGAGCCTTCATAATTTCAACATGTCCGTATGTCACATCCACTTTACTCAGAGACTTTTGGAGCTACATTGCTGGTACGTACGGGCTTTGGAGCTGAATTACTGCTACATACGTACAATTCTGTAGCGTAATTACAAAAATTAAGGTTTTTCATTTTTTGTAATTATAAAATCACATTAGCGCCTTATAGAATGAATGGTATGTAAAATATCTATACATATAATAAAATTGTAACTAAGCCGAATCTGTACATTAAATATTTTTTGGAAAATCTTATTGAAATAGACATAATTATCGATACAGAGGCCGAATCTATAGTTTTTAGAATTTTTGTCTGTCTGTTACAGCATCACAGAAAAACCACTGGAAGGATTTTGATGAAATTTGGTATGGTGAGAGCTAGTTATCTGGGTCAACATATCGGATACTTTTTACCGCGGGAAAATATCTCATTCCTGAGAAAAAATACAAAAACCGCATTATAAGAGTATACTAATATGTAAAACCTAAGAATTTGCTTTTTGGTCATCTGAACGAGGGCGGAACCGCGGGCAATGCTAGTCAACTATAAATTTTGGAACGTCAAAAACTTTATCCCCTGTAGTTCTCTCTCTCACCATTACTGTAAAGTATTCGAAATGTCAAAACTAAAATAAATACCCCAAAAAAAATTAAAATATTTCATCTGGCTACTTCTAATCTTTTTAAACGAGATCGTCCAAGACGAAACAATAAAGACTGTCTTAGATCTAAGGCCCAAAATCAAAAGATCTTGCCTGACATTCCAAATCGAACTGGACTAGACTATAGGAACTATAGAGTCGCATTCTCTATTAAATTTGAGACAAAACAAATATTTATAATAGAGCCTATTAAAACAACGGGCTTGAACTTTGTCCATTATCGAATTAGTTCGGAAGTTTCATATTACATTTTGCCTTCTCTATATTTCTCGGGGATGTCCGAGAGGTCTCGAGGATATCAGACTCCATACGTGATGATATTTGGCAACATTTTTATTTTTATTTCTATTTCTATTTAAGGAAGTAACTAATAGATACATAACTTTAGTGATATAGCCATTCGATTGCAGATGTTGGAGTCGTAATAAAATTACAGACGCTACCGAAGCCACAGGCAATAACCAGTCTTTATGTTATATGGCAATTCAGCCCTTTTAAACGTCCTAATGCTGGGCAGCGGCTCCTTCTCAATGCGAGAGATTGGCGGACTTCAGACGTCTTACAAAAGCTGACATGCAAGCTTCTTTCATCGAAAGGCAGGTAGTACATACTCTTGATGAAAATGATTCGCATATGAGAATATCAAAGATGGGAGACCTGGGGTTTGAACTCACATCACTTGGCTTCCCAAGCAAGCGCTTTACCACTGGACTATCAATGCCTATTCCTATATAAACATGTTAAAAACACAGTGACGGAACAAAATTTATAGCACCAAGACGAATTAAGCTTTTCAGACTTGGTTGGAGCAATTATTGAGAAATGGGTCAAAACATCGCTTCGCCATTTAACACCTTATTTTAATAGGATTAAGATACAAATTCTGTAAATAATAGGGAATGGTGAGAATGAAAAGAAACTTTAGTTTTGAAACAATATGGTATACGTCCTCTTATTATATTACGCAATGTTGTGGATAGAGTTATTGCATTTGCTGTGTTATGACTTTGTATATCTGTTTGCATTCTAATTTCGTGTTAACTAATCTATATAATATATTAGACTACGATAATAAATGTGGAAGTTTGTATGTGTGTATGTTTGTCTCTCCTTCTCTCTGAAAAGGCTGGACCGATTTGTATGAAATTTAGTAGGTACACAGATAAGCGATAACCTGGAATAACACATAGCCTGCCTCTTAGGCATCTAGGGATGAGTAGCGAAGGTACGTCACAAATATGCACATACACATACGAACTTTCACATTTCTAATAGTCTATATTATCTATTCTATACTTTTATATATACGCGCTAATCTCAGGAACTACTAATCCGATATGAAAAATTATTTTTGCATTATATAGTCCTTTTATTGAGGAAGGCTATAAGCTATATATCATATAATATATATTTCATACTAATTGTTCAAACGTACGTAGGTACGAACCGAGCGAACTAGGACGAGTCGCTAGTATATCTGTATATATGCAGATAATTTATTGATAATAAAGGCACATAACATACAGTATAGTTTATTTTGGTGTTTAGAAAACACCAAAATACAATGCGTGTAAAATAATACAATGGAAATATAAAAAAAATGCATTAAGTTTGAAGACACTCGACGGAACGTGAGGAATGAGGATATTCTTTCAAGTAATCTAATTGGGACGCGATGTTGGCCCACTTCGCGTGTTGCGTTAGATGTCGAGATGAGAGGAAGCTCGGACGGTTGTTTTTTGAGTTCGTTTTGCTTGTCCATATCTATACATACATATCTATAAATATAATAAAACTGTAGAGGTCGAATGTCTGTACATAGAAAAAAAATGCTAAAAAACCGAGTCAGGGGGATGTAAGAAGAGAAATAGAATAAATCCAGTTTTTTTTTTCAAACTTTTTGTTTCTCTATCTGTTTGTCTGTTTCTACGGGCTAGTCCCTGATGTACCTCATATCCCCGTTCAACATTTTAGATACTTTTCATTCCGGAAAATGCTGATACCTTATGTTGCCGGTCAAACAACAACGTGGGATAGATCTGTTTGTGCTTTTCTAGAACCCAAGCAAAGCGAGGGTGAGCCGCTAGTTTTAAATAAAACTATTTTTTCAGATTATTTTTATTAGTGACTAGCGACTTACACTCGCGCCGCATCGGGTTCATTTTTGTCTGTCTGTCTGTCTGTTATCGCATCACGGGAAAATCACTGGAGGGATTTTGATGAAATTTGGTATGGTGATAGCTGGTTATCCGGGTCAAAATATAGGATACTTTTTACTGCAGGAAAATATTTCATCTCTGAGAAATCTATATTAAAGGTTAAAACGTAGGAACGAACCGGAGAGGAGCGAGGGTGAGTCGTTACTCGTTAGTAAGAAATATATTAATAAAACTTTTATAACAGTAAAGCTTTTGTTAAATAAATCTTCATTAAAGTTCCGCTTACCATTAATTTTAAAATGTGTTTGCTAATTTGATATTTTTCCTTAGCAATAGAAAATCAGCACAATATTTTTATATATATGTATAAGTTTTTTTTATGAAAGAGAGCACAGATAATAGGCATGGTTAAATTTTATATTAGTAAAATTTTCTAACCCAACCTATGGCAGAGAGCAGTTCAGCCCGAATGAAGAATGAGCAGGCAGCAATTAAAATATTACAATATTCATGATATAATAATATAATTATCAATTATCAAAGATCTATACAGATAAATAAATATGAGGTGTCTGTTTGTAATGTCAAAATAACAGCGTTTTACTAAAAACCATATGAAAGTTATATATGGTATAAACAAAAATTGTCTGTTTGTTCCGGCTAATCTCCGAAACGGCTGGACTGATTTTGACGGGACTTTCACTGGCTAATAGCTGATGTTATAAGGGGTAACATAGGCAACTTTTATTTTAGAAAAAGAATCAGGGTTCCACTCAAAAAAAAACATACCTAGGGACGCATCCGAGCAAAGCTAGGGTAAGTTGCTTGTATAAAATGTAATTAAATATTTCTAACGACCTTACAATCTACGAATAAATAATAAGACTTATTATTTATTCATAACTTACAATAGATAAACATTTTGTGCGTTTAAAATTTGAACTATTTTTCTGTTTATGTTGTCCACATCAAATTTCATCAGGTTCACTAGATTTATATTTATAAATTATAATATTAATTTTATTTAGTCAGTATAAATATTGCTAAGATTTATGCGCATATTTGACATTTTAAATAAAACTACCTTTTTGGATTTTTTCATGGATTTATTTTGATTTTTGGTTCCCGACGTTTCGAATGCTTTACAGCAGGTCCAGAACTTTTCATGGTCACGGGAGAGACTGAGCTTTTAGATGTCTCAAAAGCATTACAGTTGTTACAGAATAACACAAAATAACAAAATTAATTTAAAAAAATTGAAAAATGGCTTTAAAGTACCTTACAATCAATATTTATTAATTTTAATTTTAAATAACAAAAATCCAATCCAAAAAATTAAAAATAAATCAAAGAAAAAATCCGAAAAGATAGCTTTATTTAAAATATTGCAAAATTAAAACTTCTCTTACCTCTTCCTGCTGGCTCAGTGACGAGCGACTGCCCCATTCATCCCAACTTTCTTTTTCACCTAAAAATAAAGTATTATTTATTATTAAAATGCAGCCACTGATAGTAAAACTATTATTAAATATTTTTTTTCAAATTATTACTTTTTATAATTCATTACTTAGAAAAACAAGGATTTTATAATAAATAAAATATCATGTACTTTTTAACATTTAGTATAGATTTATTAGAGATGAGATATTTTCCTGCAGTAAAAAGTATCCTTTATGTTGACTATCATCATAATGAATTTCATCAAAATCTGTCCAAGGGTTTTCTCCTGATGCATTCCCAGGCAGACAGATAGACAGACAGACAGAAATTCTAAAAACTATAGATTCAGCCTCTGTAGCGATAATAATAAAAATTTCATAAGATTTTCCAAAAAATATTTAATGTACAGATTCGGCTCAGTTAGAACTAGTTTTTTATTCACTTACAGTAACTCGCTTCACTGGTTTCCTCCATTCTCTGCTAACTTAAATTCATCACCTAAAATGAAAAATAATGTTTGATTGTATTTATAAATATAAAGAAATTGATTCAAGTTATTAAAAATAAAATATAAAGAAAGTTGATAATTTTGTTTTTCTAAAATATAATATTTAACCTAGCTTGTAATACATGTATTTTTTTTATATTATAGTATTTTAAACAAGAAAATAAATAATAAGACATGTATTTTTTGCCGAAAATTACATACAGCAAATATACTTACTTAGATTTACCCAAAGAAACTCTCGAAAACTTTGCAAAAACACAACAACCACAAACATAGAATGTTTATTCCACGATACACATCGTTCATTTAATACTTCTTAAGTAAAAAATAGAGAAAATATAATTATTTTCCGCGATACACACGCCCATTTTCAATTATAACGTATTAAGGAAAGAAATACGTAATATTACTAAAATAACTGAAAAACACAACTGTAGCACAATTAAAGTCTTATTTAATTTATGATTTTGTATTTACACAACTATTTCATTTATAATTTTATTATATTACAAGAAGTTCATTGTACTCGGTGTTTACGATATGTCAAATCGATGAACTGAAAATAATAATTGTCTATGGTTGAGGCTGAAAAAGGTTTTACTTCAGGAAATAATCATTTAACGTATGAATTTATTATTATTGTATAAATTACGTATAAAATATGTTGTATTTTGTGAAATTTAGCGTACGAACAATTTTTACGAAAGACTATTTGATGAAATAATAAGTTGTTTGACGCAATCTTAAGTTTTTAAATTCTTACTTTCCAAAATGATAAATATATTGAAAATAACAAATACAGAAAGAATAATTTTGTTGTCTTAATAATATAACATATTAATTCAAAATATATTGTGAATAAAATAAATTCTATCAACTTTTGGCTCTGACCAGATTTCCTGCGGATAACGGAATACTACTGTTCTGTCGTAGCTTACAAACAAAATACATTACATATTTTTAAAAGAGCAATCTCTCTCATTTTTTTCAGCAGAACTATCTCAACGCAGACGGCTTTATCATGGACTTACAATATTCAAATTAATTAATTTAAATATAAGAATTGACGATACAAAAGTGCTCATAAAACTATATTTAATATTATAAAGTTTGCTTGTTTGAACGCGCTAATCTCAGGAACCGATTTGAAAATATTTATGCATTAGAGAGCCCGTTTATTGAGGAAGGCTATGTATGCTATATATCATATAATATAAACTCTATCTATTCCATACTAACCGTTAAAACGTACCCGGGGACGAACCCGAGCGAAGCGAGGGTCAGTTGCTAGTTATAGTATATTTTGATTTCATATTATTTACTGCCAACCAACCGGTAAAACTAACATACTCTTAATTACTTAAATTAGTTCCAAAACAGCCTTTAAGCAAATCAAAACTCTACAAGAAATACTCTGTTCATTAATTTTCGATAGATATATAGAAATAAATAATAATACCTAACAATGTATAATAAATAAAATAATAAAACACTAGGAAAAATAAAAATACAAAAATTATTTTGATTTTTTTTATTATATAATATTTTTTAAAACATAAAAATATATTTGAAAAATAGGTATACATTTATTTAATTCAAATAAAAAGTACACATGATATTTTATAACATCCAATAAGTTGAACCAAGATGGCGTTTGTCTATGGTCAGTTCGTTGTACATCAAGACACAAGATGGCGTAGACGTTTTTAATAAAAAAAATTGCAATGAGTTTGTATTGCGTATTTATAGATGGCGCTGTTTACATTTTGAGTTGTTAGTTTGCTAAAACAGCTAAAAACCTCTAAAATTATACATTAAATGCAAAAAATATGCTATATTTTACATATAACTTTCAAACAATTTTTTCATAAATATTTAAAAAATAATAATTCGACAGTTTAGTCTTGCCTTTGATCAACGCCATCTATGTTTATTTTTGTCTTCATAAAAAAACAAAAATAACCCGAATTAAGGCTGTTTAATGTCTTTGTTATAAAGTATCCATAGATGATGAAAAAATAGAGCTCTTCAATATCTACTGTATACTGTTGATAGTTCCGAAAATACCCGCTAGGGGAATTTAACTTATAATCTACCATCTCCGTCCAACTTATGACAACACATTCACTCTTTCTTCTTCTTACTAGGAGATTCTTCTTCTTCGCTACATCTTCTCTTGCGGGATTCCTGCACCGCTTCGGGTATAACTTTCTTCACTCTCGCCATCTCCGGTGAATACGCCCAAAGTAACATTTCTAAATGTTCTGGTGTGGGTTCATCTTTGTCGTTAAACAGTTTTGCTTCTGCATACTGTAAAAAAACATTTTTTTTTAATTTTATCTACAGTCTTCACAATAGGAGAAAAATAGTTATTGCAGACTTTTAAATATAGGCTTAGACTTTTACTTATAATAGTACTAGCGGACCCGACAGACGTTGTCCTGTCTACACGTCTTTAATTTGAAAATTTCAAACTTTTTTTAATAATTTTTTTGATGAAAATTATTATTCAAATTGTGAATCTAAACCATTCCCAGATCCCCTTGAACACACACAAAAAATTTCATCAAAATTGGTCCAGTCGTTTAGGAGGAGTTCAGTCACATACACACGCACACAAGAAATATATATATTAAGATATAATACATATAATATCAATTTGGAGACTTTAACAAAAACTAACTTTAAAAAAAGAACTTATAAATAATACTTAGAATCAAAATCCATGACATGACCATGATTGCGCAAAATGGCGGTGTTTGAACCGCTCAAATTTATTATCTGTTTTAAATATTTAAAAAAAAAATTAAAATACTTCCAAGACTAATTTTATAACGATGATATTTTGATGTAAACAATGAATTAAAATTAAAAAAATACATACATATACTTAATTGTATAGTAGTTGTTTTTGCCATTTGGGAATATAAAAAAAAAAAAAAACAAATAATACCTTCTCCTTCAATTCTTTCAAAGCACTATTTCTAACAATATCCCAGGTCTTTCCATCTCCCGCATCTACAGTTCTCAGCCGCTTATACTCTCCTCGGACTGATTCATATGCCTCTATGAAGGTTTTCTAAAAAAAAAAAACAATAAAATTGTCTATGGTTTTTACAAGTATAGTCAAATGGCACTTTAAGGAAAGTAAAATTGTTTGTGCTTTTGGAGAGTTCACATAAAATATATACAGATAAATAAAATTAAAGTGTTTGTGTGTAATTTCAAAATAACAGCTTTTTACTAAATGCTTACGAAATTATGTACGGTACTTATAAGAAAAATACAGTTTTTAAAATGTTTGTCTGTCTGCTATTTGTTTCGCCTAATCTCCGAAACTGCGACGATTCTGATGGGACTTTCACTGGCAGATAGCTGATGTTATAAGTAATAGGTTAGGTTACTTTTATTGTAGAAAAAGAATTAGGGTTCCGCTTAAAGAAATGAAAACGTACCTAGGGACGCGGACGGACCATATTTTATAAAGATTTTTGAGTGAATGTATAGCTGTTTTGATAATATCTAGAATGTGGCTGAGCTTACGTATTTTATTTATTATTATTACTATATTTTCATGTTTTATTCATCCTATACAGCCTATATGCTCGCATCTAGAAGCTATGTTAGTGCAAAGTTTCATCAAAATCCCTTCAGTATTTTTTTTTTTGAAGATATCCTCCAAATTTCACTTTTATAATATTAGAAGGATTATAAGGAATCCAAACAAATTATTTTTTTAACTAATTTTATATACATACTATGTGTTACTCCAGCTCTATTTGTGTACAAAATTATATCCAAATGAAGAAGCAATAAACATACATACATACAATAATTTACAATTATAGTAATAATTTGTGATTATCACTACATATTATAAATTAAAGTTCCCCAGACCGTCTGTCTGAACGCGATAAACTCAAAACCTACCAAACATATTTTCATACGGTGTTCATTAAGATTTTGTCTCAATTAGATGAAATACGACGATGATTGTTGAAAATGTCGGAAAAAATCATGCCGAATAAAGTTATACGAATCAATAAATATATTGGGACATTAACACACAGCACCATCTGGTTCCATGGTAAGCTACGAGGCCTGTGTTATGGATACCAGAGAGTTGCTACACTACACATATATAACTTTAAATACATACATATTATAAATATAAACATCCAAGACTGGAGTACCAACATATGTGCTAATCATACAAATGAATGCCCCCAGCGGGACTCGAACCCGTGACCGCTGGCACAGCAAGTAGGGTCACTACACACTGAGCCAAACATGTCGTCAAACTAAGAAAACAATGTATTACGAGATTATTCTTCTCAAATAAATCTTCTTATTGATATAGCAACGCTATATGCACGCACCCGAGCGAAGCAAGAGTAAAACACAAGTTATATGTAAGGTTTTAATACTCACTTGTTTGTCAGTAATTTTGTTTGTCTGTTCGTCTAACTTGACGCATGTTTTGACGATATTTAAACTTATATATGGATTGTTCTGTTTGCTCATATGCAAAGTGTCGAAGTCGTCTAAGAATTGGTCGAAAATGGAGATAGCTTCCTTTATGTTGGATAACTTTGTTTCGTCGCGGGTACCTGAAAAAAATTTTTTTTTTAAATGTTTGCGTATTTTTTTTAATTTTGTCAAATTGTAACGTTTTTATGTTTGAATTTTAGTTTAAAATATGGATGTTGCTATTCGTACTTAAATTAAGGACGAATAAAAAATTATTATTCGTACTTTAATAGGACGAATAATCTATACGTATAATAAAATTCTGAGTAGAATCTGTACATTAAATATTTTTTGGAAAATCTTGTAGTAGTCATTATTATCGATACAGAGGCCGAATCTATAGAATTTAGAATTTTTGTCTGTTTGTCTGTCTGGGAACGCATCACGGAAAACCCACTGGAAGTATTTTGGTGAAATTTGGTATGATGATAGATGGTTATCCGGATCAACATATAGGATACTTTTTACTGCAGGAAAATATCTCATCTCTGAGAAATCTATACTAAATGTTAAAGCATAAGTAGGGACGGACCCGAGCGGAGCGAGGGCGAGTTGCTAGTATGCAAATAAAGGAGGCTGTTCCAATTCGTAAGATAATCGGATGAATAAAAAATATATTATTCGTCCGAATATTGTCTGATGTGTCTGTGTGTAATGTCAAAATAACAGCTTTTTACTGAATCCATATGGTACTTGTAAGAAAAACATTTTTTTTTTTAATATTTGTCTGTTTGTTTTTGGATCGGCTTTGGCAGGACTTTCACTGGCACATAGCTGATGTTATATGGAGTGACTTGGCAACATTTATTTTAGAAAAAGAATTATAGTTCGGCTCAAGAAAAAAAAACTAAAACCAATGAAAATCGTACCTAGACACCCGCCTGAACAAAGCGGGGGTAATTCGCTAGTTTACAATAAAATAAAACTTACACGTCAAAACTCTCTTGGCTCTTCCTATTAGCCCTTTGACGGCCAACTTTTGATAGTCCGGATCCCTCCCCTCCAACTCCTTTAAAGTATTTTCTGCTGCAACCTGAAAAAGAGTCTTACTTCAATTTCTTATTTTACACTTTCTTACTACATATACCTCCTTGACACTTCTGGTCGCCTGGTATTTTTGTCAGAAATATAAAGGCACCACAAACCTCAAGAAGTGTCCATTATATATGTATGGGATTAGAGCCCATCATAAGAGTACGAACTCCTTACAACGCCTGGTACTTTTGTCACGAGTACTAGGACGCCACGGACCTCTAGGAGTCTATTATATATGTAGCGCCTCCAAACTTCTCAACGCTTATTTACATTTATAACAATGGTGAAGGAAAATATCGTGAGGAAACCTGCATGTCTGAGAGAACATAGCAAGTTGTCTGCAGACATGCTCAGTCCACCCACACTTGGCCAGCGTGGTGGACTATAGCTTGAACCCTCCCGTATTGAAGGGAGGCCCACCCCCAGCAGAGGGATGTTAGTGATGGCTGAACTCTCCCAATTTCAGACTGTTACTAAGAATTTCTTCATAAAATAATCATTAGCTATATATACTTTGTTTTGTTCAGACCTTTTAAACAGGACCTTGTTTGTTCGAATATTCTCTTTGTTTTATAACTATTTTTCGGGAATTTTTGCGGTTTTAATTTACATTTTTTTTCTACATTTCGTATTTCGATAACATTTTTTTTTCTTAAAAATTATAATATAATTTTGTTTGTAGACACCGTCTGTAATAGCTATAACATTTGAAACTAAAAATTTAGTCTCTTCCGTAAACATATTGGCTGTAAAGCATAAGTTAATTGCCATTTAATGGCAACAACAATAAAGAAAACTAAAACCGTAAAAATCTGAAAAAATATTTTATTTAAAACATAAAATTGTCTATGATAAATAACTCACCTTGTCTTTGAATCCCAACCCCGGCACAGTGTCTGGGGGTAACTCTTTCTTCTCTTCCTTTGCTTTTGATTTGTCATCCATTTCTACATCTGAGCTAGATTCCTGTAAAAATAATAAAAAAAAACATTTATATAGTAACTTACACATTCTATAATTTATTTGCGATTTTTACATAGCAAAATTTATAAATACCTTATCATTATCATTATTTTCTTCTTCCTCTTCTTTTTTCTCTTCCTTCTTCTTACTTTCTTTCTTCTCCGGCTTCTTTTCTTTATTCTTCTCTAATTCTGCGAGCCAGTCTTCGAAAACTTGCATTGCTTCTTTGATATTCTTTATTTTATCTTCAGCTTTTGTCACTGAAAGTAATAATATTATAACATTAACCAATTTTTAAAACTAATAAATTAAGTTTTTAATTAATTTTATTCTTTTTAAATTCCTTACTTGAAAGAACTCTTTTCGCTCTGCCCAAAAGGCCCCTAACAGTTAACCGTCTGTAGTTGGGGTCGTGTTTCTCTAACAGTCTTAATGTTTCTTCTGCTTTCGCCTTGTCTTTGAAGCCGAAGCCAGAGTCTTCTTTTTCGTCTTTGCCCATTGTTCTGAAAAAAAAAACTTCTTTGATCTATATATATCATAACACAATGTACATATACTTATCACTAGAAATACTTATTAGACCTGTCCATAGATTTACATTGTAATCATGAGCATAATTTTACATTTAGAATCTAGACATATAAATAAAATTGAAGTGTCTGTTTGTAATGTCTAAATAACAGCTTTTTACTAAACACATATAAAATGGTAGGTACTTATAATAAGAAAAAAATCTACTTTTAAAAATTTTGTCTGTCTGTCTGTTTGTTCCGGTTAATTTCCGAAACGGCTGTACCAATTTCCACTGAACTCTCAGTGGCAGATAGCTGATGTTATAAGAAGTAACTGAGGCTACTTTTATTTTAGAAACAGAATTATGTAGTAGTAGTATGTAGTAGTATTCCGCGTAATAAAACCCATGAAATTGTAAACAAAATCCGCGTACGTATAAAGGCCACGGAACCTCAAAAAACTTGTACAAGGTACACAGTGATCGTGTTTCCATGTCACTTTTAAATAAAATAAGTTAGCTTTACGTCACACCTATAACTGTGCGTTACATCATCAATGCCTACTGATTATAGAGTGTTATATTACATATTGCGTATGCTAATACGCCTCGGTGGTGTAGTGGCTAGCATGGACGGTTGCACATCCGGAGGTCGTGAGTTCGAGTCACGGGTCGGGCCAAGTTTGTTTATTGAGTAATTCTGTTTACTAAGCCTAAGTAATAGCCCGGAGTTGGGAAGTTGGCGGTGTGTGCCTCGGAGAGCACGTGTCGTGTGGATTCTGCACCTTAATTCTCACTGGTCGTGTCGAGGAGTCGTCCCACAGGAGTATGAGAGTGACAGGAATAGAGAGTGCACTTGTGTGTGCACTATAATATCTCCTGCGCAAATGGCTAGTCTCCATGAGAATGGCCGCCGCGCCGTGGCCATAATCCGTCGGGAGGATGTTATTATTATTATTTACTAGCATTGCCCGCGGCTTCGCCCGCGTTCTGATGACCAAAAACAAATTCTTAGGTTTTACAGATTAGTATACTCTTACATTGCAATTTTTGCATTTTTTTCTCAGAAATGAGATATTTTGCCGTGGTAAAAAGTATCCTATATGTTGACCCGGATAACCAGCTATCACCCTACCAAATTTTATCAAAATCCCTCCAGTGGTCTTTCTGTGATGCGGTAACAGACAGACAGACAGACAAAAATTCTAAAAACTATAGATTCGACCTCTGTATCGATTATGTTTATTTCAATAAGATTTTCTAAAAAATATTTAATGTGCAGATTCGGCTTAGAATTTTATTTTATGTATAAATTATATTAATACTATAAACATAGAGAGTGGATTGAGTGTTCCTTTGCCTGCTGTAAGGAAAAAATGGCAGAGAGGCGTGAGAGAGGAAAACGAATGTCCAGTAGCCTTCTTTATCCATAGAAATACAATTAATTTGTAGATAAAACAGTATCTATTTCTCCTCTTTCAACAAAAAAAAAGTTACAACAACAAAAAAAAAGAAAACTTTAAACTTAAACTTTTAACTTTTTAAGTTTTTTTTGTTTAAGCAAACAAAGAATGCTTTTTCTAAAGTTAGTAAACTCTAGTTTTTAACCCCGACGCAATAAGAGGGGAGTTATACTCGTAAGTTTAACGTGTATTTCGGTGTGTCTGTCTATTGCATCGTAGCGTCCAAACGGATGAACCGATTTTTATTTAGTTTTTTTTTGTTTTCAAGGTGACTTAATCGAGAGTGTTCTTAGCTATAAATCAAGAAAATCTACACAGCCATTTACACCGCCACGTGGACCGCCGCGCAAAAGGCAAGTTGCGTCTTGAGTCGCCATACGCCTCCGTTAGCCAAAATTAGGCCTTTATGCCATTTGTTTTAGAAACCCTTATATGGAGTCGAAGTGTCTAAATACTTCTTAAAACTCTCCTAAAAATCTTATTACCTCTACTGGTGACAGTAGAGCTGACTCATTTTTCGCTCAAAGAATCGGCATTGCCATTCAGCGAGGGAATGCGGCTAGCACTCTTGCCATTATTCCATATATATATATATATATATATATATTTATTTCAATGTATCTTGTTCATTGTAAATAACTGTACTATAAAGGATATAAAAATATATTGATGAGCTCATAATGATGCAATTCCTTTTTTTTAAATACACTTGACCAAATAAGAAAAATACACATAAAATTTAAATGCCAGTAATATGAAATATTTTAAACTAGCGACTTACCGTCGCGTCGCTCGGGTGCGTCTTTAAATTGACATAACCATTTTGCTTATGAACCGATTGAATTAAAACAACTACTTAATGTTAAGTGATGCTTACCACATACATTAGTGAATCGCACCAAAATCTGTTAAGCTGTTTCTGAGATTAAATCTAAAAATCATTGTTTTGGGGTCGTAATCTATAAAATCACCAATTTCCCAGGTAAAACTACCAAATAACTGAACTATAAGTAGCTTGTTTAAATAGAACAGTCTATCTAATAACCTAAATATGTAAATCTAATAATACTTTCTTAGATTTACCTACGCGAATATTTGATTGCTTTAGAGCGCCTTTGTCACGGGAGTTACTAAGGTTTTAGACGTCTCAAAGGTGTATACAAATACTTATGCCATTTTCTGTAATACGTAGGTATATATGATGACCTTTGAGACGTCTTAAACCTTAAGTCTCTCCCGTGACCATGATTGCTGTAAAGCATTCGAAACGTCGGGAACCAAAAATCAAAATAAATCAGCGAAAAATTCCGAAAATTTAGTTTTATGTAAATCTAATAAAAAACATAAACATTGAAACGCTACCTAGTTATTAGGATAAATAAGCGAGTAGTGAGTAATCATTGGACCGGTGCCATTATTGTGCAAACTTTTATTACATGTTTTCACTCATATGAAAACTTTTAAATTCAAAAAAATATTACTACCTATATAAAATAATAATATTTGTGAGTGTATGTTTGTATGTTGTTTCACTTATGTATGTTTCTATGTTACGGCTAAAGGTAGGTGAGAACAAAAACTTAAGATTAGCCGGCTAAATTTAGGTGTATAGGTTATGTATGTATTTATATTATAAAAATGACCATGTTCGTCTATTCTTGAATGTTTTCAAAGAAAAAAAATCCATTCAAAGCAAAAATTCAATATTTTAAAAATCAGTGGGCCACCTCGAAATGTAGTCATTTTTTTTTATTTCAATTTTTTTAAGGTATAAATTCTACCCCCAAGCTAACAAAAAAAATTTTTTTTCGCTCCAACCTAATACACAACCCATACAAATGTCTATAAACTTGGATGGAGTACACACGCTTTAACACACGTTAACGTTACGCGCCTGCTTAGAAAACCAAAAGAAGCGGGCTCAAACACGGGTCTCGTTTGATCTCTTTTGATATTTTCATGTGCGAATCATTTCCAACATGATCACCACTTGCCTTACGGTGAAGGAAAACATCGTGAGGAAACCTGCGTGTCTGAGAGAACCTAGCAAGTTTTCGAAAGACATGCGAAGTTTGCCAACCCACATTTGAGCAGCCTGGTGGACTATGGCCTCATCTCCCTCACATTGGCTGGAGGCCCACCCCCAACAGTGGACTACTTCATACGCGTAAGTTTCATAATTTATATATTAACACCTCCAGATAAATTTGTAAGAACTTAATTAAATTTCTAAGAAATCTTAACTGTAACGCCGGCGTGCCCGCGCTCGTTTAGGGATTAAAATCAGGATATAATCATATACTATCTGTAGTTTACTTAAGCAAAACGAGTCAATAGCACGAATTACATCATAAATAATTGTAATGTATATTTATCTACTACATAATCTTTACCTTGAAATACGCGAAAAAATGTTTATTTTTTATTTCACCGTATTAGCAAAATAAGTTACTTTGTCGACACCTATTTATTTAAAGACTAGCTTGATTCCTAATACAAACGTTCATCCCCATTTTCAACTCCTTAAAGTATGATTTCTGGGATAAAAAGTATCCTATGTCCTTCCCAGGATCTCAAACTATCTTTTTACCAAATTTCATCTAAATCGGGTCAAAAGATCCAGAGATTATCCCCTGCAAAGTCACAAACTCACAAACTTTACCTCTTTATAATATTAGTATAGATTTGATGCCGGGTCCAGCACCCTATGGTTGAGCGAGAGGAGCGAGAGGAGCGGTTGCTCTAGGTGCCAGGTGGCAAGGAGCGCCAAAATGCCAATAGCGAAAATCAATTTTGAGCGAGAAATAAAATTTTGATGTACTGGCACGTTTTGAAGCCAAGAGAATTGAATTGAACTGAACTGAAAATATTGATACTTCCTTTTGATGTCATTAGATCAATTTAAATTTAATAAATGGTTGTTGCAATAAAAGTTGATTGTTGAAAAAACTTGTTATTATTATTTATATTAATCCGACCCGAGACTCTAACCCATGACCTTCGGATCTCCGGTACTATGCTTGCCACTATACCAATGAGGCTGTAACTGTTATATAATTTTGTAAAGGTGTTTACTTTCTTAGATTTACGCGAATATTTGACATTTTAAATAAAGTTATTTATTCTATTGTTATTTATATAAAAATTGGAAATGTGTATCTAACATTTCCTATCAAATATCTCTTCAAAAAAAAAAAGTGGCGTCGAAATATGACGATATTGAGTTTTTCGATATTAATGATTTTTTCGCGGATTTATTTTTAACTTTCTCGTTTCTGACGTTACGAATGCTTTACATCGCTTATGGTCACTGAAGAGGTTTTAGACGTTTCAAAGATCATTATATAAATGTTACAGACGGTATCTGTCCATAAAATTATACAATGATTTGGAAGAAATAGAAAAAAATGCCTTTTTACCGCTTATACCTACGGAACTCCAAAAACTAACTCGACAACAAAATGACATTACTCCATTCAATATTTATTTTAATTTATTGCGTTATCAAAGCATTAAATAAAGTGATAAC